AATACTATATATATATATATATATATATATATATATAAATTCATAGAGAGGAGGTTTTGTTCGAGAATCATCATAAGATATCCGCTAAGTATGTGATTTTTTTTATTCCTATGATCCTGCAATACGATTACTGCATTTTTACTCTAAACTACTGAGAGATGTATACGTTCAGCTCTATTGATGCATATTTTTTATGTTTTTTTCTATCGCGTGCGAACCTAGTCCGTTAGTAGTGCACCATCCATGTTTTTTTTTTTGCGAACACTACCTTTCCTTATTTCGTCCATTTACGTCCTACCTCGAAGCCCTACACAACCAAAGGTAAGGGAATTAGAATTTGTGAAACGTCTCCCTTTATATTCTACTTTATAGCGAGACCGCCACTAGGAATCTAATTCAGGAACGACGATGGATATACCCAAAGGTGTTGAAAAGAAGGAGGAGGAGCGGATATCGCCCTCTTTCCCCCAAAAGTCTCCCAGTGAGAATCGTCAACCCAAGCCCACCATCTTCGACGCGTGTCGCCGTGGCGACGGCGCCGCGCGCGTGCTCGAATACATCGCGAAAGGAGGCTCCGTTACGGACGGGGATGAGCTGCGCATGACGATGCTCCACCACGTTGCCTACGCGGGGAATCTCGACCTCGCGCAGGCGATTATCGCGGCCTTCCCGGCCGAATCCGCTGGCCTCGACGCCCCAGATGCCGGCGGGTGGACGCCGCTGCACTACGCCGTCGATCAGGGCCACTTAGAGATGACGATGCTGCTGCTCGAGGCGGGTGCGAACGCGAATGCGCGCGATGAGAGCAAGCGCACCCCGCTACACCTCGCCAGCCTCAGAGGGGGAGGGACATCCCTCGTGGAAGTTTTATTATCGAATGGGGCCTCAAAGAATAGCAAAAATGCCGCCAACATGACGCCGAAGGATTGCGCGCGTGCGGCAGGGAACATGGGGATTGAGTCATTGCTCTAACCTCCTTGGTGCCGCACTGCATGAAGGCTAGCGCGTGGGAGAAAATGAAAGCGGCTTTGAGAAGCCCATCCCCGCAAAGTCACCTGCGCTTAGTCCTAGAAGGGGAAGGGAAGCATTCCTTAAGGTGAATCGGTCTGTGGTTTTAGATGAGGGGTGTAACTATTGTAGATAAGTCTTCACATGGATGCGAAATTACCTCCCTCGTCGCAGGTTTGTAACATCAATAAGAAAATCATCATTTCTATGGGGTGTGGAGACGCCATCGATGCGAAGGGCATTGAGTCTCCCGTACTTTGCTCTCTGCCCTCCACCCTCTGGAACAACAAAGAAGTGATTTTGCTTTCAACTTTGAATTCCTGATAAAATAAATAAAGCACTTTGTTTAGTAATCATAATAATCATAATATTATAATACTTTAGATAGAATAGAACATTTCTAAATTCACCCACGCGTGTAATAGAAGCATTTCCATAAAACTAATTTCATATCATTCCATCATGGAGGAAAGGGAGACAAGTTACAGTGGCCTAGAGCCAGAGACCCATGCAGAAATCACTCTCAACGCGGACTGTCATGACGCGTTGCATCGTCCCTGCCCCAACTCAGATTTACAAGTATTGGTGGATCTTCGGCATCAAAGTATTGGCCCCCGTGATGCAGACGACCCCTATGCAATCTCGGAGCAGTGCCAAAGTGGCGAAGAAATCTTAATCATAGGGGGAAAAAGCTTTGAAGACGTTGAAAACGTGAAGCTTCATGCGAAGGAAATAAAACGCCCAGTCAAAATAGAAGAGCCTGTATCGCTGGCCTCGCTCGACATGGCATGCAATGCGAGCGAAAATTTTACTGGCTGCACGACTCTTACTAACTTGGACTTGCTATCAGAAAAAAGCCAATGCGAGACGTCAGACATACTCATAAGCAAGATTTTAACCGATGATATGCCTAAAGTAAATCCAGAAAAAGAACTGGATTCAAAGAAACGTCGACGCCCTAACTTGAATGAGAAGAAAGTTAAGAAGCGTGATAATGATGAACAAAAAGCGATGACGAAAGCATCGCGAAAGCGCACACGGTCCAAGGCAAGTGGTACCACCGCGCACAAGACTGATGATGAAGAAATTAAAGCTTTCCGATCGTCTCAGCGGGCTCTCCTCAAAGAGGCGAAGCACGTCAGCATGAAGGACATCATGCTACGTTCCCTTAACTCGTTAACGAATCTTGAGGATGGGCTTGGAACAAGTAGTTCTCCCGAGAGCCCCTGCGAGTGGAGTAATAGCAGGGATCCTGTTAAATTCTTGTCGGACACCGTTGGCTTGGCAAGTACCTCACCGCTAGACATAGACGTCTCGATCGAGAATGGCACTCGGGAGGCGGCCACCAACTTTGACAGAGCCGATGACAGCAATCCAGCCTCCTTAAGTTTTATGTCTCCTCCGGCGCTTTCATTTTCGTCCCCAACGCTTGTAGATAGCATCACGAGCCGTTTTATTGCCACCGCCCAGAGGCAAAAGAAACAGAACGTGGAGCGGTTGTTACCTCTCGAGCTCACCTACTCCCAGCGCTCGCATCCTTCCAAAAGCGGCCTCAGGGGTCTCACCAACTACAACAGCTCGGGCGCGGTTCTCGAAGAGTCTTCCTCCTCCACGACGTGGGTAGGTCCTGGTGGGCATCCAAAGCTTGTCTCTCAGCAAGGCTTCTCTGATAGCGACGAGGAGCTGATCATAGGCGTGAACGACGACCAGGAGTGGCGGAAACCCGACAAAGGCATCCACAACGTCCCTTCGGATCGGTATACAAGCGATACCGCGGATGGCGTGTTGGTAAAGCCTTCTGAACGAGGATCAGAGAGCTGTTTAGCCTCTTCGCGTCTGCCATCTTACCTCGGTGGAGGGGCCTCGCCGACTGGAACTCCAAGCGGGGCCGTGGATGGTGTCGAAGACGAGGACGAATCTTCGCAAGTGGCGATAGCGCGCGCTATCACGCGCAGGCATGAAATGTGGAAGCTCAGACATCGAGAGATGAAGGGGCAAAGGTTGGTAGAGCAAGACGAGCGTTGCAAGGGAAAGAAAAACACCTCCAGAGTCCTTCCTAGCTCCCATTCCGCAACCTTATCTGCCCAGGTCGAGAGAGAGAAAATTTTGCATCCAATGCCTGGTGGATCTGCTGTCCTGTCAACAAGTATCCATGCGTCAACGGAAGTTCACCTTGACAGATCTCTCGAAACGTTCACTAGCGGCACATTAGCCTCGGCACCTTTCCCCGCTGCGGGCCGCGTTTACGCCGCGCACAGTAGCAATTCACAGTCCATTCAACATGTCAAGCTTTCCGAGGACGACCTCTCGATGATACGCCGCCTCAATAGTTTTGATCACACCGCCACTCAGCGCGTCGTCGTGTTTGAGAGTACGAAACGAAAAGAGTAACGTCTGGTCGAAGAAAAAACTTAGCAAAGTACTGGTAAATTTCGGGGTCCATCTATTTATACTCATACATGTGGACCTTAATGTTTCCGAATAAATCGATAAAAAACGGAAGCGTAGCTTTTTCACTTTTTTTCCTTGCCTTTAGATATCACCTTTTTTCCATATAATGATTCTCACAAAGTACATCCAGATACATTTTACGTGGCATTTCACCTTTATATATTTCATAGAGAAAGTACATGTATTTACCCCAATATACACTATCTCAGATTGAGGTCCTTAATGCGGAGGAAGAAAGGCAGCGCCTACCCCTTCACTTAAAGTTATGTACTTTCAAATTATGGCCTACCCTTGAACTCTGGGCTGGGCGTGATCAGGTCTTTCGCTCCTTTCCCCCTTTAGATATTCTCCTCCTGGACAGGATACACCACCTGTAAACTAGATGAAAGACTAGCCACGGACAAAATAAAGAAAGAAAGGTTATATACATTCATTAACACATACTCATCTATATATATATATATATATATATATTCCAATCGGCAACGATGTCCCTTGATTCGAG